CTCCAGTAAAAGATACCTTTTCCTCCACTGCCTGCCCTTAAATGAGGTCTGGCTACAGTCCTTCTGGTCACTAATGAACATTGCATGCACCTGAGCTCCCCTGAGTAGGCCCTGCCTTCCCAGTAGTTGCTCAATCACTGTTTGAAGGAGTGACTTAGCATTTCAGCTACAGTGAGGTTATATGTTAAGGTTAGACACATGAAAATCTCATAAAAGGTATTTAGAGATAGAGCCAAACTTATCTATACTTGTGATTTGATTTGTAAAGTTATCTGTTGTACTGTTAAAAATGTTGGACTCAGTTTGACTGATTTAAACAACAGCAGTATAAATTAAAAACAACCCCCATTTAAAAGAAAAAAATTGGATTTCTGTGTGTGTGTGATAATCACATGAATTAATCCCAAACAGAGTTAAAATCGGTCCACGTGTTAAAGCTGCAGACAAATATTATATACAATGTTGCGTTTCTACATTTAACTATCTACAAAATAAAATGAGGTAGTATTTTTACAAATGGCTTGTAAATTCTTGCAAATAGATTTGTGTTGTTGCATTGTCTACTTAGAAGGGTGGCTAAAACAACAATTCAAACAATATAAGAGTGTTCAAAAACTAATGGTGATTTTCTTAGGCTTACTCCTGAGAATACTATTCTCTAGGAAGGTTGCCTGTAGTGAACTTCATAGCTGTGATTTAATTTACCCCTACTATTTTTTTTCTTAGTTAAATATTTCATACAGTTGTATAATCAATTGGATGCCCTGTTAAGCCCACCAAATCTACAGTTGATTATTAGAATGGCCAATATATAGAAAATCAGTCTTTATGCAGAATGTAACAAGTGATTTATTTGCACGTAGAACTTAGAAACTGTGTATGAAGTCCTGACTGTGGTAAAATATTAGAAGCTTAATTGCTAACTTAGTAAAATAAAAACCTTCTTCATCTTTTAAAATATGACCAAAGGAAGTCAGTGCATGCATTTTTCTCTTTCGTGTTATTGTGCCATACATGCCTGCCTTGCAATGTAGTAAAACTTGTTTTTCACATAAAGACCTCAATGACCAAATTTAGTTTGTATGACTGAAAGAATAAAACAGCACATAGTTTAAAACACTTAATGAACAATCTGCCATATGCTACAATCCTCGAGTAATTAGTCTATTCCTCTCTCTGCCAGTTATAGGAAATTCTGCAATTAGTTTTGCCAGATACACTTTTTAGAAAGCTAGAACGGTTTGTGCTTCACATTAAGGCTTGGTTGAATGAAGCTGAAACAAGTTATTTGAAATTCATTCTTATAAGAGATGAATTGTTTTGTTGTTAAAAACACTTTCTATTATTTTCATCTAAAGAGGAAAACTAACATGTAAGGATCAATAATAAGAAATCTTTAATAAATGAGTATTGAAGCCAGCTCAGATCATTAGGGAGCAAACTGGTATGAACCAACAGGTTTTACACTGCTGTTATAAGTGGATAAAGATCCTTTCTTTCTCTATCCTGAATGAAAGTCTTGTAACAGGATGAATTCCCCTCTTCTGAGGGTATTGCAATTTGACTAGACAGGTAGTATAGGACATGTTCTGTGACAGTGTGAGGAAGATAATCTGTTAAGGGATCTGAAAGTTAGAATATACTAATGAGACTTCTCTATGGTAAATCTAGCAAAAGGACCCGTGTTCTCTACTTCTGCTTCCTTTTGTAACTTTATTTCAAATAGGAGAACCTGCTTCTATATTTTCTTTTCCAGATTTCTTAATTAAATTTAAATCAGACTTAATCAGACTTATCTTGTAAGCATTTTATTGTGTTTTTTTTTTTTTGTTTTTTTTTAAACCTTCAATACATAGTAACTGTGGAGATAAAAATGTGATGTTATTTTAAGACAGGGTGTTACAGGAAAAGTCTTTTCCTGCTTTCCCATTGTAATGACAGCTGCTTATTTGTTGAATGTTAAGGATTTTCTTTTCTTTTCTTGCAGCTTTTTCTGTTTGTTTTCTGAGGAGAGGGGGAAGCACTTTTTTTGCTTTAATGTTAACAGTTTGAAGGGATAATTCTTAACATGCTTAGTGGTGTTCAGTTTTGAGCTGTCTTATAGTAATTATTGTGAGAATTCATTTAACTTCTAAATACAGCTGCACAGGCTGTACTTCAGTGGTTACTCTGAGGTAGTGTCTTTGTGTACTGAAGTTTATTTAGAAACTTTGAGATGCTAGGGGCACTTCGTGCACTTAGAAAATTATCCTTGTGCATGGGGTGTTGTCAGTTTTATTTATACATAAAGATTATCACCAGATGTTGATTAAACTTCACCAAAGTCTTATACAAATCAACTCTTAATGAGGAGGTCAGGGACTGTCCAAAGTTGAATCCCTGGTATTGGGGACCCAGAATAATGACTACATTCTTTTTATTTGTTGTTTTTAGAGGAAATAATAGTTAGCATTCTTAAATGTCTTAAAAACCTGTGACTATGCATATACACATTTGGAAAACAATCAAAGAAAAAAAAAACACACCAACCCCCAACCCAGAGCTACTTCCTAGGTGCACTGACAGAAATTTCAGCATGTAATAACGGAAAAACGTCATCCCAAGGGTTCTATGTCACACAATAAGCTAACTGCAGAGAGGAGAATAACAAAATGATTTGAGGTTTTCTTCTCTCACACAATACATACTGTCAGTCAGAATCTAATATCCTGTTCTCATCTTACATCTAGATTCTGCATCAGCAATACGAAGAAGTTTATTCCTGTTAACTCCCTGTAAAGTAAAAAATAGATGTCTGTAAAAATGAAAACTTCTAACTTAAATGAAATCAAAAGCATACTGCTGTTGTCTGTGCAGCTCCCTAGCATTTTTGATGTTAATAACAGTATTTGCATGAATGAGAAGTACCAGCTTCTTTGAGATACTTTTATGTGGCAGCTCTGTGTTTAGAACTAGAGAGCTCATTAGAAATTGTTCAGAAAATAACAATAGACATTCCAAATCAAGTACTAGCGGATGTAGGGCTATTTCAGCCTAACAGGACACATTAATGAAATGTCTCTGGAGGCTCTGGCTATTGAAAAAATGCTGTTGACCCATGTAGAATTGTAAGTTAATTCAGTTTGGAAGGGACCTCTTAAAGATCATCAAATCCATCATGTTGCTCAAAACTGGTTTGATTAAATCAGATTACCTAAACCTTGTTGCAACTTAGCATGTGGTTCTGTGGTACTGCAGCCTTCTCAGCCACCACAGTTCTTTCTAAGCTGAGCATCTGTAGATTGGTTTCATTTGCTTGTTTTTTTTTTTTTTTTTTTTTTTTTTTTTTTTTTAATTTGTGTTTACCACCACCACCAATGTACATGCAGCTGCATGGATATTCTATTCCAGGAGCTTGTGGGCTGACAACAGCTTATTTTCCTTTGTTTACTTTTTGGAAGAAGAGATCTTTCTGTCTGTATTGGTTGCTGTGTTGTGCACCTTTTGATCTATGAATATAAGGAGAAACAATGGGCATGAATGCCAAAGCAGTGGCATGAAAACTTGTACCTAATTATTTCTTTGTACCTCATTGGAACATTGTACATATGATGTTTCCGGATACAGAACTGGCTACCAAACCTTCCTGAACAAAATAGTTTATTAATTTAAATTCATCCCGTTTTCTTTCAAATACAGCAAGCAATCTTTCAGAAAGGGCTAAAGGTATGCTAAATTAGAAAGCAGTAATTAGTACAGAGGAGAAAAGAAGCTCAAAAGCATCCTCCAGAACAGAGTAATTCTTAAGAGGGCTGAAGGAAGTTTACTGTTTTGCTCATAGAATTGACTTTGCAATTTTTTAAACAAAATCAGGCCTCCGCATCCGGAATACTGTGTCCAGTTCAGGGCTTTACAGATAGAGAAAGACAGGAAACTTCAAGAGTATTCAGCAGAGGGCCACAGAGATGTACGAGGGCCTGGAGGAAAAGCTGAGATATCTGGGTCTGTTCAGCTTGGAGAAGACTGAGGGGAATCTTATTAATGCTCATAAAAATCTAATGGGTGGGAGCAAGTGGCTGGGGCCAGGCTCTTTCCAATGATGACCAACAACAGAACGAGGAGCAATGGGTACGAACTGGAACATAGGAATTTCAATAAGAACATGAGAAAGAAAATCACTTATTCATTTTGAGAAATAGAGCATTGAAACAGGCTGTCCAGAGAGGCCATGGAATCTCCTTCTCTGGAGATATTCAAAACCCACCTGGATGCTTTCCTGCGTAACCTACTGTCGGGAACCTGCTTTAGCAAACTGGACTAGATGGCCTCCAGAGTTCTCTTCCAACCCCTACAATTCTGTGATTTTTCACGATCATGTTGCTATTTATGGAAACATCCAACATGCATGAGAAAATTAAGACTCCTTAGTTCTGCATCATGGTTTCAAGTACTTTGATGTAATGGTTTGAATTACTAACTGCTAATGAAGTGTTTTATAGTTTTTTGCTTGCCTGTTTGTTGGTTTGTATTCTCACCTTCCTTCTCGCAAGGAGGTATCAGAAACGCATGCTTTAAACTAAGAAAGAAAACAAAGTTGCCCTTTTCTTATTCCCGTAGTCTCAGTCTCTTTAGCCTCAGTGAAAGCTGTTGCTCTAAAAAACGTTGACTGCATTTCAACAATGTATCCTTGGTACAAAGTCAATGTATACCGCCTTCTCATGGTCAGGTATCTTAGGATGCTGACGTTCTGCTCTCTTTCAAAAGAAATGAGAAATATTTTCAACCTCCTTGTTATTCTTTATTGTGTTTCACTGCTTAACCATAGGCCTTTTGAAACTACTCTGATAGCAGCGCTTGGATATAGTTTGGCTAATTTACCAACCTTCATTTAAAATGATCTGCAGTTGGAATACAGAAAAACCACTGCTTCTGGCATATCTGTTACTTTTTAAATTGATAAATGTAGCTGCAAAATTAATTCCTAAATTAAGAAAATGTCATCTTTTTTTTTTTTTTTTCAGGTGAAAGTTATGTTTGTGCATCCAATGAACCATATCGGAAAGTTGATTATACCAAGAATGTCAATCCAAACTGGTGTGTGAACATAAGGACCGGGTCCACTCGATCCCTGACATCTTTGACATCCACAAAGAGTGAAGTGAAGGAGAATAAAGATTTCATTAAACCCAAACTGGTGACTGTTATTAGGAGTGGAGTAAAGCCACGAAAAGCTGTAAGAATTCTGCTGAATAAGAAGACTGCTCACTCCTTTGAACAGGTCTTGACTGACATCACAGAAGCCATTAAGTTAGATTCGGGTGTAGTCAAGAGGCTTTGTACACTGGATGGAAAGCAGGTAAGAGATTGAATTGTTGTGAAAATCTAACAATTGTGAGTTACTCTAATTAACCTTGTTTTTATAACTTAAATTCTCGTTACTACACAGGCTTTAATTTGCTTCTGAATATGGATAATTAAATAAACCACACATTTTTTCATTTCTGTTCAAAATACCTAGAAAAAATACTAAAATTCTCTCCACTACAAAAGAAATGGACTACTTTAAGTAAAAGAAAAAACACTTCTTCATATACGGTGTTGTGTTGCTAAACTTAGTGCTTATTGATTCTTTTCAGTAACTGAGTTTCACTTGAAATTTTTGAAAGTAAAATGTTTAAAATACACATTTTCAGAAGCAGAGTTGTATTTTTAAGCTATTGCGTTGTGTCATGTGGTATATGAAAAAGATTGGTGTCCTCTTCCATTTCACTTCTATAGTTTACTATTTTATAAACAAAAATACTGGAAAGTCATCCTGGATACAGTAATTAAGATTGCTAAGGCCAAGAATTTTATCTGAAATAGTATTTCACAGGTGATGTTTTAGCTTTACTTTTAGTTTTAAAATGGCAAATACACACTGTTGAGATTAATGACACAGTAGGTCTTTTATTCTAACCCATAAATACAAAGAAGCAACCCAACAAATACAGTGCTGCACCAGGTGAAAGTAATACATTAGCTGTTGATCTATCTGGCTGGTGAGTCAGCCTTTTGTGTAGCAAGGCTTTGACACCTAATGCCTTTATCTGACACTGATATGGAACTCCGACAGCTTTGTGAGTCTAGTAACGCAGAGCAACATAGGCTGCCAACTAGGTCATGTTTGATACCTGATACCTGGACTGTGGTATCATTGACTTAATATTGGGATCCTTGCTCATTTAAAAGGTATTTTTGCATATCTACATACCTGTGTGTTTGCATGTGCTACTCCTAAAGGTTTTGATCTTGTTTAAGGAGAACTGGGAACTTGTTTTCCACAAGCTTTTTATAATATTTGTGATCCTGTGGACCACTGAAGAAGCACCTTTTTCGTGTTGAAAATTGCTAGATAACGTATTGCAGAAAAAGTGCACTGATTCAAATAATCTGGATATGAAGCCTTTCCCTCTAGTTAGTTCCGTGTACTGCAGACACACTTGCTATATACTTAAAAGTTAGGAAAGAAGTACTTTTGTTCTTAGGTATTAAGTAGTGAAAGAAATATGTAAATGAGAATCCTCATTCATGATATCTGTAGGCACTGTCATATGCTCTTTAATTCTTCTAATTGTTTTATATTGTAGGGTTGTTGGTTTTCTTTTCTTGTGTTTTTAAATGAGATTTGTTAACAGCATTTTTTACCTGGAGAATCCTTTATAAGAATGTGCTTTGCTTTTTAAAAGTCCAGAAATGTGATTCAATCATGTTTAATTTAATTCACTTCAAAATAGCTTAGAGGATATTTATTCTACAATAATTATTTTCTCCTGCCCATGAAGTCTTCTGTTGATGTCCCATAAAAGTTATTTTATTTTCTTAGCCAAATAGTTTAAAAAGATTTGGGAAGAAGAGTCAGAAAGACAACTGCTACAATTTGGAGACTTGGTTCAGATTTACTTATATGAATTACTGACACAGTAGAAGCTCATTAGTCTGCATTTATGTGGTAGTTGCAGTGGTGCATCAGGGAGCAATAAAATTAACCAATCGGCAGTCATACATTAAATTTCACTTATGTTGCTTGCATATTAATGTTACTCATGGTGGACAATGACTGTCTTCAGTCTACAGTCAGGACAAGTAGTCATAAGTAATGCTTCAAAATAAGGGTGTTTTCTCATTGCTACACAATCTCTCTTCCTTCCTTTGTCTGGTAACAAGACTTAGATTGCAAACATCGGTATTTTCAAGCAGAACAGAGAAATTCCTACATCTTGAAGAAAGCAGCCTGCACATATCCTCACTGTACATTCGTTACTACTTCATCTCCACATAAACTGTGCTTTTGGAAGAAAGAACTTCTGCTCTTCCAATTAGGCCTTGGGAAGGAGCCTTTTCTTGCACAACCACAGCACAATTATGACTTAAGGGATCATGTGATACAGTGCCCCAGGAGGAAGACCTATGACTTTAGACACCAGGATAATAAAAACTGCCTTCTGTTTCTCTACAGAGATAGAGACATCTGAGAGCTGTTTGGGGGCAAACAACTATCACAAAGCAAAGGGCTGACCCCAATTTGAGGCAAAGAGAATTTCTTTCTTTGTTTACTGCTGGTATATGTTAGAGGTTGGTGCCCAAGGACTTTGTGGGTTTGGGCAAATAAGGAGTTGCTCTGCTGCCAATTACCAATTGGTGGAAATTTCTGAGCCTATTTTCTCTCATGTGGTAATTGCTTATTCTTCTAAATCTGCAAGGGAGGCAAATCTTTTATGTCCGTCCTATTGTTGACACAGCTTGAAAGGCAACCATTTACAAAAAAAAAAAAACAAAAACAAAAACAAAAAAACCACACTCTGTAAATGGCTATGTTCTTATAAATGTTGCTCTTGTGATTCTCAAGGTTCTCTCCACCCCCCACTTATTTTAACTCTGAGGAAATACCAATTATTTTCTTTTCTTCTTTTTTTCAGAGGCAGTATGTTTAAGTTGTATGTGGAATTGAGGCTGAAATTCAAGAGTTTAAACACATGTAGAATTCGTATCCTTCTATTAGGGACTGTATGGTCCTCATTAACTATGGGACAATTTTGTTGATGTATATAATAAGAAATGAAAAAAAAACAACCAGTGATCTATGAAGATACCTTGTTTTTAATTGTAAAGAGTATGATGGAAATTATGTCTACAATCTAAGTTTTGTGTACTCATCTGACTTCATTTATTTTTACTATAGCAAGGCCTGATAATAGCAACACTGACAGCAACATTCATCTCACTTTATTTTCCTTGATTACTTTGAAGGCAGACAATTATTTAGCTTTAAATAGCAAGATTTTAACATTTGGAAGGATTCCTTTTGTCAACAGATGAGTATTAGAAGGGTAATGTGATTTGGAGGATTAGCACTGGATAGTCTGAAATACAGAATCTCATCTAACTAATGGCAAAACTTGCCATTTCACTTTTGTTAAGCACCTAACATTTAAAAAAAAATTGATTTCCGAAACTTTTGTGATTGGTTCTAAGGAAAAATAGTTTCATGAAAGTAACCAGGCTTTTACTTTGCTGTGCTGGCTTCTGCCATTCCAGTTTTTGTCCTGACATTGAGGTTTCCCTAATATATTTGTCTGAGCAGAGTGCTTTCCTTGCTTGGATGGATTTTCCTTTCTCTGTTCTTTTCTGGAATCTGTCACTTCCCTACAGTGAAGCAAGGACAGTCACTCTGAAGCTCCCGCAGTTGAGCAGTTAACCCTTCGATATCTCCAAAGACAATGGAGCATTTCTATCTTGCTTCTGAAGCTTCATGTAACAATTCTTGCAAAGTAGAAGGTAGCAACATAACATATAGGACTTGGAAGCGTATATTATTTGCCACCAAAAAGAAAATGGAAATCTTCACTCCAGGAAGTCAGTAACTTTTCAAGATTGCATTTTATTGCAGTTTAATGGATGAAAGTCTGTAACAAGATTGAAAGGGTGGACGAGCCATCTAAACTATACTCCATTCCCAAAATATTGAGAATATACCACAGATGAAACATACTTTATTTCAAAGGCCTCTTTTTGATGGGCCAAAGATACTGGTGGATCTCTTTGAAACCAAAAGCTCTGTAATTTTCTGATAACACCTTGTTTGTAAATGGGGAATTAAAAATAGCATATTATATTTATAAGTATTCATCAGACTTATCATGCTCTTTTCTCACTATTTTTTTTAATTGTCTAGTGACTGTTCTGAAAACTCTCTGAAGGCAAATGCTAGCATATGTAAAGTTCATTTTCTATTTGGTTTGTAGAGGTATTTCTAAGAGATCAACTGCAGCTGTTAAGGTACCCATCAGAGGGTATCCAATCTAGAGGGTAAATATTTACATCTAAAATCCAGATGAATGAAGAGGGCATTTTTGTTTTCAATTAACAAAGGCTGTCTATAGCTTTGGAAGAACTGTTGAGCTAGAGAAAAAAACCAAAATTTGAATGCCAGTAAACATTAAAATATTCAAGTATATACACCTGCATGCCAGAGTAGAATCCATAGAGCAAGATTTACTGTTCAGAGTAAACCCAGTGCTAACAAACCTTATTCACCATTTGAAATAATATGTGACTTAGGGGAAGATGATCTTATACGAAAGTTAGACTAGAATTGTTTCAGTAAATAACCATGGAGAGATGTCTGAGTGTGGGATAAAACTCATGTGAGTGTATGAAAAACAGAATAATTGAAGTGGCCCAGTCGTTGAGGAAATCCTGTGACAGGAAAAGAGTTCATCCATGGATACTGCAATGCAGTTTTTTTTTTTTCTTGTGGATTTTTTTTCCACACTTTCAGTTGGTAGGCTCAGAACTGGAATCAGTGGTTGTTTATTGCTAGAGGGAGGGAGGAAATAGAGTACTCAGAGGAGCTAATTTTGGCCTCCATCCATGGATATAGAAGTTTTCCCATCTGTGGTTATTTATGGAAGGCAGTGTTATCTGAAACTATCTCAAAATTAACTGAGCCCTGACACAGAAGCAGAGATCTGAAAAATAAACTAAATTTGAAAATGCACCTACACCATTTTTCCACCTATAGATCTTGTCAGGGAATTAACTTCATTTAATGTAGTCACACAAAGGCCACAGGTAGGTAGTATGTAGGTAGAAGTATCAAAATTACAGTGCTGAAAGTATTAAGAGGTGGAAAAAATGACCATCTAACAGGTCATCTAAGATGAGCATCTTAATCTGGCAGTAAACAATCATGCTGAGAAGGCTCATTAGATTCGTTGCATCCACAAAATATTAAGGTCATGCCACATGAAACAGCCACAGTCAGATGCTGAAAAACAACTTCCCTTCTGAAAAAAAAAAAAAGTGTTTGGTATT